TCAATAGTCAGTCAGTCAAATGGATAAAGGGGGTAAGGGGGACAGAAAAAAGGTGAGAGAGCCTGTCCACTGTCACCACCTCTGTCACCAACAGTCACCACCACCCTGTCACCACCACGACGTCATCGTCAAAGCTAAAATATGCGTTTCGTTGACGTTTTTTTTTTTTTCGACTGAGTTTGATGAAAAGGACATGACCACAGTACCTGGAAGCCACTTGGTTGAGCCTCGAGTTTACTCTAAAGCATCCTTTTTAATTCTATTTGGTGGAAAATTTTAAAGCTTTGCATATTCGTGTGCAGCTGTATAGTATTCCTATAACCTGTGAATTTAATTTAAACCACGATGGTAAGCTTTAGAATAAAAGTTCCCCTCCACTTGCCACTATGCAATAACAATCAGGCGTTCCATTCTATCCAAAGAGACTGGACACTAATGTTGGTATCCAGTTCCTCACAAGAAGTATATTTGTAAACAAGATGGCGTCTTCATCAGAAAAGAAATCTGCAAGACAATCCACACTTGCATTTCGATTGATCAATCCGGAGTTATTTATCAAACCTGTGAGTATCCTAGGTTTATTCTCATTTTATTTGATTCAATGGTAAAGCAATAAACTTCAGAGATCACTCTCGGACTGACTTCGATTTATGTTATACATTTCATTAAGTTAGTAGATAATGACTCATCCGTTAAGCTCTATGAAAACCATCCCTATTCACTCTTCCACACTTCCTCGTGCAGCTTCCTAATTCCCCAGTGAACAAACACCTACAATAATTGCTACATATCTTAACTCCCGGATGTGATTATTGTGTAACTTCTCCTTAAAGGTTGAAGTTGTTATCTTGATCTAACACCAAAGCCCTGTCACTATTTTACAATGAAAAGTGTCACAGCTGTAGGGAAGAATTAACCCTTTAACCCCTAAGAGTGACTAGCATCTATTTTCTCCTTACAATATCACCCCTAAATCACTCATTAAGGTCATGAGAGTGAGGAAAAAATAAAAAAATAAATTAACAAGCTCTTGATTATTAAACAGATTCTCTTTGTCAGCACCTTAGGAAATGTATGTATGACAGTATGGAGAATATACACACTGATGTTAGTGTGTAAAGGGTTAATAATCAGATCTTTGGAGTTAAAGGGTTAACTGGTTTGCCAAACATTCAGGCTGATTTAGCGATAGGATACCTGTAAACACAGAGGAAACAAAGTGAAATGTAAGAAAGAGGCCTCATTGCTTCAATTTGCCTAAAATTTTGTCAAGTGCTAATGTCTGTAATGTTCAATAAAATTTTGCATCACCATTTGTTGTGTTAACTTCCTGTCTATATATCTTTTTTTTTCAATAAATATGTATGACTACTAACATTCTTAAAGTTGTGAAACCTAAGTATTATAGACATTAAAATAAAAAAAAATGAATATTCCTGTCAGGTACTTATGTACCTTACATAGAGGATTGATTATTTGAAACAAGAAATGATTATCATTTTATTTATAGAAGCATTGTTAGAAGGAAAGTATTGCCTAATTTTATTTTCTTCATTCTTAAATCTAGAACAAAGTGATCATGATTGGAGGTTCAGTTGCACTTGCTGGCTGTGTATTGTTCCTGGGTTACATGAATTTTGGAGGAGAAAAACAGACAGTTTCAACATCGGCACATAACCATGGACATGTGAAAAGCAAGTGGGACTAAATGGCAAGTTATACACAGGAAAAGAACACTGGAAAAAAACGTGCATGTCATCTGCATTATCAATAGACATATTCTGCTGTGGGAATGTGCCGAGGCAGTTCTGTGCTCTACCTCTCAACAAATCAAGCACTCCAGTTGAATTTAATGTAAACATCTCAGTAACTGCCATTACTGGATTGTGAGTAGAATGTTGTCACCAGAAATAGGCTAATAATGCTAATAACAAAATTTAACACCGCCAGTAAGCAAATGTCAATTTCCATTCTGAGTGTTGAGATCATAACAGGCAAAATTGTTTGGAGCAACTTCAAACTGCCACACAAATTGTTAAAATTTAAAGAGGATGAAAAAAAACCACTTCATCTATCAATAAGATAAATGAGAAATAAACTGTAAAGGATTCTTAGAAAATATTCTTATGTATAATATGTCTTTTGACAGCTCTAAGGTGAATTGTTGATTACATGGACTGATATCAAACCAGTGATTGGCAATTTTTTTGGAAAAAACTCCTTTTTTCCCTTCCTTCCTGTTTTTAATCAATTGTTATTATGCAGCCAATTTATCTTGTTTGCTGATCATCTCTTGTGAAAAGAACTATTTAGTGGGTTTGTACTCCCTTATCCAAGATTTCCTTTTATGTGGAATGTAGCTACAATTAAACTTCAAGAAAAACTTGTTTAGAGCATTCTATTCTGAATGACTGTGGATATATGAATATCATATGAAAAAAACATTTCAGGCCTGTACGGGAGTTGAACCCATCACCTCTGCGATACCGGTGCAGTGCTCTACCAACTGGGAGCTCGTAATTTTGTTGGTTCGTATTTAATCCGTGAAGTGATGTTCATAACTGCTTTTCCATCAGACCAGTTGTTTAATCAGTTTTCAGAGAAGACCGAAAGTGGGGTAATTGTGAACAACAACTCCCTGAAAAAGCCCATCGGTCGTCAGTCGGCCAACAGTGCGCCGACTGTCAGCCGACAGGTTTTTCTATGGAGTTGTTCTACGTGATATTACCCCTTGTCCTCTCGACGAGCTCGTGAGTACGTGAGTACAGAAACAATTCAAACTAGTATGTCTTCCGCGATAATTACACATTTCCTTTCAAAGGAAGTTGAAAGTAGATTTCGACTGTCTCTCTTTCTCTCTTTCACTCTCTGAGGAGAGGGTCAATGGGATGTGGTTAAGCAGTTTGCAAATGTTTGAAATTTTTGTGGTTTAAAGAAACGCTCGAACTTTTGGAATAGTACATCTTATAGTTATCAGGATATTGACCTAATACAACTGTATCGCATATAATCAAGAATTTGCGATTTTCCGGAAGCCACCGGACATATTGCAGGCGCAAATATCGCGTGGGGAATTTAATAACATCCATTTGTTTTGGTTTATGGCACGATTGCCTACGTTTTTGTTTTCGGTTTGTTTTGTCTCAGTTTGGTGTCTTTTTTTTTTTATCATTATTTGTTTTGTTCTTATTTTTATGTTTTCCCGATCGAAGTAGCTTTAGCTAGATTTTATCTTTACGGCAAGGGTTCGCTTGTTATTGTACTGTGTAATCATAGATCTTACTTATGAATACTAATAATGAAAAGATAGCGAATTTGTGAAAAAAAATCCTTTTAAATCGTCACCCATCAAAATTACTCTCCTTGCCCTCATTCATCTTCATGGGGTTAGGAAAAAGATGTTAAAGGAATCTTTCTTGCCTAAGATAGTTTGAATTTAGAGAAGTCTTCTTATCAGAGTCTCTTCCTTAGCAATGGTAGTATTGCGTTACATGAATTGTATTTTCGTCATAAATGTCACGAGCCAGTAAGCCACTGGTTTAATGCATATTTTATGGAAAACTTTATCGCTGAACGACCAAAGCTCTATCCTGACTTCTTATCTTTTGTGGTAGAAGACCAATCCATTTCTTTTGTTCTATTGTAATATTATGGACGACTCTCAAGTCTCTCAAGGCGAGTTTACATTTGCCACTTCCATGCGGCAAATTGTAAAAAAGATTTGGATCCATGTCACAGTATCTTAGCAACTGCGCACCTACCCCTTCCCTAATCCAACAAAAGTCACCTTATCGCAAATTGGGCCTTATGTTGGGTTAGGGGAGGGGTAAGTGCACAGTTGCTAAGATACTGGCGTTGATCCGAAGACTATTGTTTCTATGAGAATATTTACTTCAGGTAAAAAAGATACGTGACTTCGATATTAAAAAGGAAGCAAAACGTGATGAGCAGTGTCAGGTCGTATTGGGAATGTAGAGATCATGGACCTTGTAATCTCAGTGAAATCGCGTGTTATACTATGACCCTCATCTAGTGAAATCACTCCCTTTATCTTCGATTATACTGATAAGGTCTGCAAAAGTAGTAACAATCACGTTTGTTTCAGTACTTACTTTGTTTGGGGTCTCATGCGCTACCGATTGAACTGGCTTTCGGTGTATTTTACGTCACAAAACGTCACGAACTGATAGCACCTTTTCGTCATCTGCAGGGATCACGCGCTTCCTTCGCTCATTAAAAAGCTTTGAAAAATACGAGACCTTTGTCTTGCGTACTTCTCTCGTTTACATTCGAGAAAACGCGGTTTTATCAACGGAGTTGAACATGTAAATTGGCCATTGTAGAGAGTTTCTTCATCTTACATTTAGAGCGTCAGCCATTTCGTCACAGCGAAATCGTCTTGAAGGGCCGCTGCAAAAAATATAATTATCTTTGCACACCAAGATATCGGCTCATAAAACACTAACAAAGAATAAGTTTCCTTGTATGATTTAATAAACGCTCTCACGAGTAAAGTTCTACTCGATGATTCAAATTGTTTCTTTTTTTGTTAAATAATAATAATATAGCAGACAGCTTTGACCAACGAAAATTAGGATCTTTAAGATACTTGTCGCAATCAAAAATGTTTAATGTTTCATTTGTTGAAATGCGTAAATGTGATTTACCGTAAAATTCATGTCTATCCATCCTTGAACCACGAGCAAAAAGGTAATTTGTGAAGATTGTAGTGGAATCATGATTTAATAATTAAATTAGATATCAAACATATCTACTGTGTACGTGGGTAACATCAAACAATTCTGCGTGTGATACACAAAGTGTGGATTGAATTTTAGAAACAAAACTGCATAGGCAACTGAAAAAAAAGGCTCATACAGAGGTTTTCGACTTCCGTCGCTAGGATTAATCTTAAGGGTCTCAAAAGGTTATTGTGGTTCACGCTCTGACGCGCAAATTGATTTTACGTAATGCCGCACCGGTCACGTACGACTCAGCAAGTAGGATCTACAAATTGTATATAAACAAACAGCCTTCCAGCCACTTCTCATAATCAGAGACAAACATTAGTACTAGGACTATTTATTATATTTCTGCAAAGGTGAAGAGAATCACAGAGAACAGAATGGAAACAACTCCGGTAAGATTTTAATGAACGGTGCATAGAAGTTCAGTCCATTTTCACCCTTATTACGATACACGTTTCGTTCAATTTACACCTGTATAGATCGGCAACTCGTGGAGTGAACTAGTTTTAAACAGTAGTCAGCGTATATTAGATTAATAGTTTTCATTACGCTTGCGGATAAAAATTCGGCAAAAAGCTATTGATGAACTTTCACTCAACGCACAGAGAAAAAAGGCTTGGTGCTACTTCGAAATTGATTAAAGAGGTTTTATGGATAAGGTTATTCGCGAATGAGTCTGAGCTTTAGTAATGAAATAGCGCGGATGTTCCCGTAATTGGTTAAAGCATTGGATAAACTCATGGCACGTACGACTTGATGCAAATGAGGAAATTCTCGTAATATATGTTTGTGAAAGGTAATTCAATTTCAAAAGTTGAAAGTTGTTGTTTTCAATCCGCCCACACGGGGCGGAAGATTGAAACACGGATCATGTTGTCAAACAATTTGTAAACGGACTGGAGGGTGATGGCCGCTTAAATTTGAAGGGATAATTTAAACATAGCTATATTAGTAAACGTAAAAAGTTACGGACATCACGCGATTCAACTGATTTGGATAACGTTACAGACTTGCTGAAAACAAAGTTTGCCATTCATTTCTGCCAAAAATGTGACATAACAGAATCAATGCAATTACAATCATAATTCCTGACATCGCAGTGTCCGAGAAAAAACGATATTATTTTCAAAGTGTATCCAAATTGTGCAACTGAGTCACTTGCACAATTTGGCTCCGAAAATTTGAGGTTGGATGCAATTTGAAATTCTTCGGAGCAGACTTTTTGGTCACCAATAAATTATATAATCACAGAACAGTCAAAAGGCCTCGGGGCGATTGCAAAACCTGTGATCCTATTACCATTTACACAAACGCGTGAAAAATTTTTGGCTGATTTCTATCAGAGGGATTCAACATGCCAAAGGATCTAAATACATATTTATTGCGCAAAAGCTGTGGCTCTATAACAAAGAGAGGTTTATCAAATCCAACCATATGTCAGGAGATGCCTGTATTTTTGTCTATGGCTGCATGGCATTGATTTCCGGAAATTCGCCAAGAAACGATTTTAAAAACCAAAGTATTCAGCATTACGGAAATTTCAGACATTCCGTCGCTCTATAGCTCAATTTTTGCCCTTTTTGGGCGTGGCTTTCGCCCAATAGGCCAATTGGCTCGCACAATCGGCCAAAGGTAAAAGGGTAGCAAAACTTGTTTGAACCCTGATTGTATGTCAAGAGGTTTTCCCTATACTTACTCAGTGTAATTCTTTTACTAGTTCCAGTGCTCCTACCGCCAATGTTATGAACTCATCGTCAACGTCGTGTGTGGAAGAAACATCACACTTGGCGCCTGGCATGACACCTGTGAGTCAACATCAGGCCGAGTAGTTTAGCTGAGAACAAACAGAATCGACTTATTAAGTCCCGCACTCTAACTAAATAACTTACTTACTGACTCACTGACTTCCAAACAAGCTAACTGACTTACTAACTCACTGACTTACTGACTCATTATCTCCCTGGCTGACTCACTAACTCAATTACTTACTGATTGACTTCCTAACTGACCGACTCGCTGACTCACACACTCATTGACTCACTTACTGATTCACTAACTCACCAACTCACTGTCTGACAAACTAACGGACCGACTTAATGCCAAACTAACCCACTGGCTCATTAACGCACTATCTCACTCGCTGACTAACTCACTGACTCACAGGCTCATCACTTACTGTCCGACTTGCAGACACACTGGCTGACTCACTGACTCCCTGACTTACTCACTGGATCGCTGATTGACCAGCTGACACACTGACTTATTGACTCACTGATTTTAACTGACTGACTAGTAAGTGAATGGATCATTTATCGATCTGTGTTTTTGTTCTAGTCGACACACCAGATCCATATGTGAAGTTATTTATCCCTACTGCTCCGAATGGACGGAAGAAAACACAGACGATATCCAGCTCTAAAAACCCTGTTTGGAACAAGGAATTCAAGTTTCTCATCGACAAAGAGTTGGAAAACGTTTTACGTGAGTGCAACTTCCTGCAGATGGAACTGATTTTAAACTTTAAGAACGGAAGATTTCTCTTTTCTTTTACGGTCTTCTTAATCATCAACTTGGTATTGGTTTTCTCTTCCTCAGATATTACACTGATGGAAGATGATACATTTATTGATGATTTGGTCGGGGAAACAGAGACCTTTCCCTTGAGTGGTCTGGAAATCGATAGAATTTTGCGCAAAACTTTCGTATTTCGACAGGTACTGATTTTGTGTACAGTTTAGGAAATTGTGTAACGAATTAACGAGACCAAAAGTATTGTAAACTGTCATTTTCATCTGCAAGTATTTCTGTGTTTATTTTTGTCAGAAAGTCTAGATTATGTTTACACTGATTGATGTTTATTGTTTAACTGGTGGTGAGGAGTGTGTACTGATATCTGTTTTACGACGTAGGTACACTTCTGTGTTTTACATATCAGTGATTGAAAAAAATACAGCACAATTTAGATAGAAATTTCTTTTTTGTACTAACCAATCCACTTTTTACTCGGACTTTAAGCTCGATTAGAATTTGTGTCAAAATTGTGAAATGTCTTCAAACAGTTCTAACGTTGTCTACTTCTTTCTTCATTTCTGCATGCAGACTTCAGAGGTGGACATTACGCTCGAGCTTAAAAACTGGTAAATTTTTCATTTTGTCTTATTAAAGGTCATCCTTCCATCTAAAATGCAAACAGTAAACTGAAAAGAATAATTTGCATTATAGTGCAGAGCCCCGTGACATGCGATACAGCTTGAAACTATGTAAGGATGAAATCGATTTTCGAGAGAACAGGAAGCCTTTCTTGTTTCAAGCGATGAGGAAGCTTCTCGGACCAAGAGGACCAAAGAGTATGGATGAGGTTAGCCTATTTTTCTATTTTTTTCCGTGTAATTTCCTTCTCACAAACACCTTTAGAAGTCAGGCTCGGTCAAGCGTTTGGGGTATTCAAATAAACAATATTTTCGTTTTTCAATAACTTTTTTTGTGTTTGTACATTGACAACATTCAACAACTTTCGGTACTTTATGGTATGAGGTACTAAAGCATTAACAAATTTAAGGTATATTTTTATCTCGTGGGGTACAAATCCCTACCTACCCTCCCCTATCCAACCCTTCCCACCTCTGGCCCAGCTCGTCGATTGCTGAACGGGTGAATGTGAAGTTCCCAGGAACAGATGAACATGAGGTTTCTGATGGTAACCAATTTAAAGTATTTGGAGACAGTGTCAAATTAAAGCTCAAAGATAAATTGCATTGGTTTGTCTTACTTATTCGTAGTCGTTATTTTCCTCCTAGATACCAACTGTGGGTATTGTTGGGTCCGGAGGTGGTTTTCGAGCCATGGTTGGCCTTAGTGGTGTGTTTTGTGCGCTAGAAGATATGGGTGTGTTGGACTGTGCCATGTATGCCGCGGGATTGTCAGGATCAACTTGGTAAGTTTATACAAAAGACAATAGTCTCTTGAACAGAAGACAGTCTACCGTGTTATACATAGGGGGCTTAACCTGGATCTGTTTTTCCCAGCAAAAACGATATAGCTTGAAACTGCAAGGAGAAAACTTTTGTCGATAAAAACGACCTCGAAGAAGACAGGGAAAGGTATTCTTTGAACGAAAATAATTGCGTTTCAGCGTAAGTAAAAAGATTAAAAAAAGATTTTGATGCAATCAAAATATTCCGCCTTATTGTTCCTCTTTCACCCGTAATTTTCTCTTAGTTTGTAACGAAATCCGTCGTGCATGCAAAAGAATCAGCAAAAAAAAAAGGGTTGATTTTTGCGCACCACGCGGGAGTGTGGAAGTGAGGCACATAAATGTTACGGTTGCTCCTTTTCGTGCGCCTTACCTCAAGAGTTCCTCGCTGCGCGCTAACATCAATTTTCTTTTCGCTGTTTTTTTGCGCAATGCATCACGACACATTGTTAACCTTTTACATACTTTAGGTACCTCTCCACGTTGTATTCTCATCCTGAATTTCCAAATGTCCATCCAAAGAAAGTGATGGAACAGCTGAGGCAAAACGTGCAACACAACTGGATCTGGATGTTGACACCTTCGTGGTTGTACAAGCACATCAAAATCATCCATCAGAAAAAAATACAAGGCCAGCCAATCAGTTTTACCGATTTCTTTGGCTACCTCGTGGGTGAAACCATATTGAGAGACGTAAGTATTACTTGAAATCCTATTAATCCTTCTCAGATTAATAACTGTAATAATGATATAGGACAAAAAGATGCCGCAAACCGCGCAGAACCATAGACAAGTTCATTTTAGGTCTCACCGCAGACGCTACTACATCGTGACGCCGTTTTTTAAATTTCAACTTGCATTCGATGTATGATCACGCTCAGTCTGTGATCACCCTGTTGTCGAAGAGTTTGCCGTCTAATCTAAGTCTGCCAATAATATCTTAGTTGAAAGCGTGTTTGTTGAATATGTTAAGAATACAGGTGTTTCCTTTTCAGCCGCTCTTTAAGTCTGCCAAATGTAAGAGCCGTAATTTTTGTTAAGTAATTGTTTCTTGAATTTCGTTTTTAGCGCAAAAATATTCCGAAACTGAGCGATCAACGTGGCGCAGTCAAACACGGGAACGTTCCCCTTCCGCTTTACACATGTGTGCACGTGAAGAATGATGTTTCGGCTAAGGCATACAATGGTAAGATTTCAAATATTGTTCGTTTAAGTCGCACCATATTGTAAAGCAATTCCAAATAGGCATAGACAAATTTAGTGTGATAGTAATACAAGAATCATGGATAGTGTGAAATTTTGGATGCGTAAAAATTGTGGAATTAACGCGGTAAGGCTGCAAAAAAGATGCAGTTAGGTTGAGGAAATTATGATAAAGCCGTGAGTAAAATATATCACTACTGATCTTGGAGAGACCAAGTCAGATTATCGATATTGCAACATAGAACTGCATGCGTACTTCACTGAAAAATGATAAAGATATCAAAAGTGCAAAATATTATGAAACTTGATCAAAGAAATGAAAACAGCGTAAGAACTCTGTCATTAGCCTAGACGTAGTGAGAGTCGGACAAGTTGTAAATGCGTCAGCTTGTATGATACGTTCTTTTTACAACAGAATGGATGGAGTTTAGCCCTTATGAAATAGGAATGGCTAAATATGGCACTTTTATGAAAACGGAGGATTTTGGAAGCAAGTTTTTCTGTGGGCACCTTCACACAAAGTATCCTGAGCCTCCACTTGAATATCTGCAAGGTTAGTAACACTTAAACAACTCTCCTGTTTGTTTTTATTTTACTTTCAAGAAGAAGATGATTTTGTCTGGGTTCGTGGGGATGATAAACTGTAGATTAATAAATATAGTCTCAAGCTGTAGCTGGGGTGATCAAATTTAACGGAAACGTACGGCCTCTTGCCATAACCAATATAAGGAGGTTCCAACCTGAAAACGTCAATATAAGTTAATTAAAAACTTTTGTTGGTGACCTCTCGTGGACTTATACTCCATTTAGGGTTTCATACAGGTCGCCATTTTTTCAAGGATCGACGAGTTGAAAAATTATTATATCTGGGATGTAGGCAGAGTACAAGAACATTCTTTTTAGGGGAAGTTATGCAAGTCATTTTTTCTGAGCAAAAAAATTCTTGCATGTAACATTTGAGCTTAAAAAACATTTGCAAAGCTTGAAAATTTCCCTTCCCTCCCCTCCCCCACGATAAGCTCCTTGAATATTCTTATGTTCTGTCACAAAGGTTATCAGGTAAAGACGATCTAAATTGAATTGCAAACGGAACCAAGCGTGTTTAATATACCAAGCTGACAATCCATCTTTCTCATTGCATTTCGTAGGCATCTGGGGCAGTGCCTTCACCATTTTACTGCAACGCATGCTCGGTGAGGGTCAAGCACCGAGCGCAATTAGAAAATTTCGCCGCAGCTCCTCCAGTATGAGAGAGGACTTACGTATGTATCTCCTTTGCTATAATTGTGGCTAAAAATTACCCTTTTAAGGCTCTAAAGTTTAAGTCATGTGAATTTTCTGGAATGTGACTATTATTGATATATGTATTTGGCTTTGCTGCAAGCGCTCTGTGATGGGTTAAACGAGGACTCGGCAGCCAATCAAATATCTTGCCCGCACTAAAGGCTTAGTGCGTTAAATAATACGAGATTTTTACAAAAAATATCCCTCCATCCCCCAGATAAGATTCTGTATCCAGACAACGGACACGATGACGAGGAAAGCGACAGTGAAGATGAGGAACATGGCGTTGATGGTCTAAAAGAAGTACCAGTCTTTGATGAAAAAGACATGGAAGAACCAAAGGAAGATCATAACGATCCTGGATTGTTGGGCAGAATAGCGCAGAGATTTATGAACAAGTTCCCTGTGCTACAAACTCGCTCCGGCCGCGCGGGAAGGGTGCATAATTACTTGCGTGGTCTAGGGCTTGCGTTCGCTCCAGTCCCCTTCGGTGAGTCACCGTCGTTTGCTGAGTTAAAAGCTAAAAGCAATGAATTATTTTTTCTCAAACGTAAAAACAGTCCGTAAAAAGTTGTCGGTTGTTAGTGGTTGTCCGGGAGAACCAGTGCAAAATTACATCCGCAGGAAACTCAGAGTGAGCATAACCTTCCTTACATCGCAATTTTTTTATAGTCCTGTAATACATATTTTCACGCAGAATCTGAAGACGTCACTGATACCGCTGACCATCCTACCCTGAAGGCTAAGCGCATATACCTGGCTGACAGTGGGCTCGTGTTCAATTCTCCGTATCCATTGGTTATAAGACCCCAGCGGGGATGCGACGTACTCCTGTCATTTGACTTCAGTGCAAGGGACAAAGAGATAGAGATGCCCTTTGAGGTGATTTAATTGCATCTACCTAAGCTTTACTCATATATAACAAGATAAATATTAGACTACTTACTTCCTCTTTAGGCTCCTTAGTGTTTTCGAATCAAGGTTAGTATCGAGCAACTGAGCATAACCCAACAACAGTCAACAAGACAGGATTAATGTTGGGCAAGACAGGGTCAATGTTGGGTAAGACAGGATCAATGTTAGGCTAAGGGAGTGTAAGGTACGCAGTGGTTCAGATACTGACAATGATCCGTGTTTCCCCCTCATTTTTGTCAAGTTTGATCTATTTCTTGGGCGCATTTCGGTCAAGTTTGTAGACCTCAAGTTTTATAGAAGTCGTTCTCGATAAAGAAGAAATGGTGAAACAGAAGCTGACAGTATTGCTGATTGATAACAATCCTCTTTTAATCTTCCATAGGAACTTTTGCTGGCAGAAGAATGGGCACGAAAGAACAAATTGAAATTCCCTCCCATTAATGCCGAGGAACAATACCAGAAACATGGTCTGAAGGAGTTCTATGTGTTCTCAGATCCTGAAGACCCAGAATGCCCCGTAGTCATACACTTTGTGTTGATGAACGGCTCTTTCAAAGACCATAGCCGTCCAGGTATGTTCGGTCACATGATCTACCCCAAGAAATTCACCAAAAAGCATCCCTAACAAACTTACTCAGTTGACTTTTCATAGCAATACTTATCACCCAAAATTGGTTGGCTTCCCTGACCAACATTAAAAAAAAAATGTCTATTTATTCATTACTTTTCCCCGTCCACCAACCTGTCAGGAACCGGTCATTATTTATCGTCTGGGAAGGGGGTGTGGGTCAGAGAATTTTAGTTGTGCCACAATAAATTTTACCTGATCCCACCCCCCCCTCCCCCCATGGTTCTGTGGTATCCTAATGATCCTCCCTCACTGGCAGTCAATTTTCTATAGTCCCCCTTCCTTTATACACTGTTAGTGACGTCTGATACGGTGATATCCCCTCCACTCCCCCCTGAAAACCATGTGATCCCAAAAAAATAATGACTAAATAATGGCTGGTCTCCAAGACAAAACGCCAATGCTAAACAAGAAGGAAAAGCAAAAGAAGAAGAGACTCATTCTGAACTGCACAATTTTAGCTCATCTGGACTATGCATTGCGGCTGCCAGTCCAATATATCTCCCATATATCATTTGCTGATGTTTTGCGGTTTGACCTCCCCAGGTGTACCTCGCAAAACCTCTTCAGAAAAGGAATTCGGAGCATTCGCAATTTTTGAAGACCCTGATAATCATTACAGCACATTCAACTTCCATTACCCTCACAAAGCATTTGATCGCTTGACTCAGCTGATGGAATTCAACACACTATTGGCGAAAGAAACCATCAAAGATGTTATAGCTGATGGCGTCAGAAGAAAACGTCAGCTGAAAGCGATGAGGAGTTCGAGATAAAACAAGTAACTTGCTCAACCAAAGAAACCAAAATATTCAGAGGAGGTTCGATTGAACTTCGGCCGAAAACAGATATTTCATACACCTCAAAAATAAAAAACACCAATTTGGACACATCAGAGCATAAATATTTGCTAAGTTGGTATTCTCTGGCATTCTCAAGGTGTTATACATCATATCTCAGTCCCCACTCATGACTACGCCTTTTTTTAAACGTGTGCAGTTGCGGAACGCTAATAATTGATAATACATCGCGCAGCGTATGCACCAAGATTTTTCGAGTTTTCCCCATATAACACATATTTTTAAGTGATAAATAATTATTACTTTGGTTTTCTGTAATTGACCAAACTATAGCAAGACAGTAGATGGTTCTATTGCATGATGAAAGAGGGCGAGGATTTTGAATTTAAACAACATTTAAAGCTATTCAACCAAACTATATCCGGTCAATTCATAAAATGTATTACGGCCGGTATTTACAAAAGCATTGAGATAATTATTACCAAACTAATTGTGCAGTTGTGAGATATGATAATAAAGATACTTTTAAAAAGTATGTGAAATCGGTGTCAGCTGTGTACAAAAGCACTTGACAGTAGTGTGGGAGTTGACCGAACGAGATCAATTTTTTTAAATTGATCGCATGAAACGCTAACTCAATATATGTATTACAATGTGGACACCATGAAGCCTGCTGAAAATATACAAAATGATGAAGGATTTTTTGATCTTGGTCATTCAAACTGACTGGAAAGTTGCCAAAGATCTGGCCACAAAAGCAGCAACAAAAGCCAACGAAAAAAGTGCAGAAAATGTTGGAAGCAAAACAGGTCAGCTTATCGGAGTAAAATTTGTGACAAATTTAACACTCGCAAGGGAGAAAAAATTCATGACACTCCCAAAAAGGTAGAAATTCGTGACACTCCCAAGGAAGATAAAGGAGAGGAACTAATCAAACTATTGGAAACACAAACAGAAACAAAAAATAACACAACTAAAAGAGTCTCCAAACAAATATTTTCTGTTGTCACAACGGGGTTACTCATATTTTAAGAACCGAATTTGTTGACACTGCGATATAAAACTTTGATATCTTTAAGTGGATAAAATACTTCAGAATCAAAAATTTCAATGGTGTTTTTTCGATGGATCAAATACGGAATCAATTCAAAAACGGTTATTATTACGTCACGAATTTGGATGACAAAATTGAACCCGGAATTCATTCTGTCCACCAGAAGTTGTTCAGTTGTCAGATAAACGGGGATTGATTTATCTTTATAACAGTACTCAGTATCAAAATTTGATGAGTGTGTTGTGTAGTTACTATTGTCAGTATTGCATTAATGAATCAAGCAGACACAAAGATTATTATGATGTCATAAAACCATTTTCACAAACTGGCACCAATCATAATGAAAAATTGATCAAACACTACTTCAAAAATATGTAATCATATGTATATATGGGAGCATTTAATGGTGATAGTTACATTAAAGAAAATTTGAAAGGTAATGATGGAGAACGGGGTAGGGAGGGGCCTCCAGGATCCGCTGGTCCTCAAGGAGTTCAGGGTCCAAAAGGTGATACCGGTACTTAACGACCAAAAGGTGATACCGGTGCTCAGGGTCTGATAGGTGATACTGGTGATCAAGGACCAAAAGGTGAGAAATTTATGAAATTCAAGGGCCTAAGGGTGATTCAACTGGTTTAAAAATTGATAAAAATAATGCATGGGATGCTGATAATAAGACAATGACTGATTTAAGAAGAGGTCAAAATGATGATGATGCCGCTGTTACATTATCATCAGATGACTGACATAACTAGCGAAAAAGTCGCCGGATATGGATAACTTGCTTCCACAGACTTTGTAATCAGGACTGTTGATTCCATACTATGACAGCAGCAATTCATCACCACAAGATGTTATGAACAAAATATATATTGATTCAAAAGCCTTCTCCCTCGATTTGTCTAACGGCCTCGATGTGAAAGGAAACGCAATTTCTAATCTAGCTGACCCGATTAGTCAAACAGATAGAAGTAATAAACGGTACATTGATACGAAGACGAACAATTTTTTTAAAAATCGATGGGTCAGAAATGGTGTCTATTTTTTTATATTCACAGTCCTAGTCACAACAACGAAAAAGTCGTCAAATTTGATAACAGTACCCTTAACACTGTCAGTTCAAGCAGCTCGCATTTTGCTGAGGTCAATAATGAATTGGTTGTCAAACAACGTGGAATTTATGAAATTCATTTTAGAGATGGTTGTAAGAGAGGCGCTGCAGATGTCCTGCTAAAAAGAACAGCATAGGAGATGTGTCCTTTGGTTGACAATTGGGATGAATAATATTCACAAAAATTCATCTCCGTATAATTGTTTTGTTATCATCATCGATTAGTGTTTGAATTTTACACCAGGATTGCTTATAAAATGTTAATGTTCTTTTTAATTTGGATATTGGTATGCTTTTATAGGGTAATTTTATCACCTTGAATATTCGTTTAAAATGAAATTAATATTGATCATCATCCCTTTACGATCACCATTAATCTGAGGTAGCACACTCTCAGTCTTCAAAATATCCTATATTTTTATCGTTCGTTGATATCTGCATGTTATCTTTACTGCATAAAGTGGTAATCATATTATAAAAGTGATACTTTCTATGATAAACGAACTTTCCTCTTATGTTATGTTGATTCTCATGAAATCAACAAATTCATTAACAGTGTCATATTTATCAACCTGACCGCAATAAACTCATACATATTCTTAATTATTGTTTTCAAGTTTCACATTCTTACAACATTTTTCACTTATCACTGTATGTTCATGAAGTTGCTCGTCACATATTGGACAATAAATCGACGACTGCGCTCAAGAAAACGAGCCCAACATTTTGCGCGACAGTAATAACTACTTATTAACCTAGCGCCAATATTCCCCGGTGTGGCTCGAACAAGCAAGGTAATTATTATATGGTACTCCGACCAAAATTTTACGGTCAGTTGAGTTTTACCGGCTTCTGCCATGACATGTTTTCGATGACCCGAGCAACTCAGAAAGATCAAGCTTCCATTAGTTTGAAAATAAATTCTGTCAACTGTGACGTTAAATCATAACTGAGAGTTTTCATCTTTAGCTCGGAAACCGCAATGTAGGCATAAAAACGACTATACCGTTCTCTGAAGTGCAACTCGACTGAACTGGATTGGAGTCGCTGAATTCTGGTTTTTAAAAGAGGATCTTGCTCGCTTTCGTCAGTCGTCCAAACGCCTTGTATTTTTACTCCGCAGGTAGCATTATTCTCAATTTTTCAAACTCATTGTCCTAGGCATAGGTTAAATGAATATTTCTTCTTGTTTTAGCATTGCTTTCTACTTTCTACTGGCTCTAAAATTGTCGGAATAGTTTTTAAAATGCTGAAAATTTATTCGCTACGTGCTCTATCGATTGAAAAACCGAGGGATATGTTGATTTTTCTCTGACGAATTTGTAAAATTTATTTCGACAACCACAAACCTAAACTCACAGAAAGGCCAAGGTGTCAAACAAAAAAAGGGGTTTTTCCTATGATGTGTAAATACGTGTCTGAAAACTAAAAGGACGAAGCTAAAACAAAAAGATCTCTCCAAGCTTGTCAATCCAACAGATGCACAGAAGGAATGGCAAGGTTCCCTGCCTCGATCATCAAGCCTCGGTGGGGTATTTGATAAGGTTTCCCACAGGAATGCTCGACCTCGTTTCTCGCATTTCAAACTTGCAGTCTCCTCCTTCCCTCCCCCCCCCCCCCACACCCCACCCCCAAACTAAAAAAATCCAATCAATCAATCAATGAAAACGTCTGTCCCTAAAAAAAAAGGTTGCACTCTTGTCCCCTTATTTCACCCCTACGAGGGATTACAGGTTTCAATAAATGCCAATTGAAATTTTGTACTAAGGAGAAAACAGTAAGAGGGGAAACAGATTTCACATTTTCATCGCATAGATTTTAAAAAATCCACGGATTGCAAACATACCAAGAGGGACTAGTTTTAATGAAAATATTTGGCTGCGAAAACATTCCCACTAAAGCAGAGGGGATGAATTGATGCCAAGCGACATTAAAATGTTTGCATTTATGTTAATCACGTAACCATCCAATTTAGGATAATTTACTTGAAGGGCGCCGTAATTAAGGTGGAATGATAAAGTTTATTTTCATTGTTGCTCACGCCACTTTTTGAGTACACCAAACTTTGGAATTGTCTGCTCAAATTTTGACTTTAAAAAGTCGCTCTTGAAGGCTGTTGAAGAAGCCTTGATTCATATCTATTCATTTCTAAAAAAAAAAAGAAATTCGTTTTCTTTTTACAGCAATTTCTCTTTCAGGTCAAAATTCATGTTTCGACCTGTTCAAGCAAAACAATTTGCGGTTGGTGAGCGAAAGCTTTCCGACTGACAAAATAAGGTCAACAAGGGCACTGATGCGCGCGAAATTGCCATTGATAACTAGCTGATAAAAAGCGCGCGAAAGTGAAATAGCTCTAAAAGAAAGCTGTCAAAAACAGACCAATCAGCACTAAGATTAAAATTTAAACAGCCAATGATAATCAGGACATGCTTGGACAAGTTCGCTCATTGTCAAGCCTTGGTATCCGGTGCGAGGTGCCCAGCTTCCGGCGCCATTTGGGAGAAATTCAAGTCCATCGAGGGTTCGAACTACTGGTTTCGAACCGAATACTGAACAACATTATTTCTTTTTGATACCAATTTATACCTGGTTTTGTCGTTTATTTCTAAATTCCTTTTGTTCGAGAGAGGTTTTTCTCAACAGAAGAGAATTGTTTTAGAAAATCTAGCAGTGTTTCAGCTGAAATTTGGATGAGGATCAGTATGAAATTCTCCTAAGTGTAGAAGCATTTGTCTTCGAAGTCCATGGACCGAAAGCAAGGACATGAACGTTCATGTGTATCGGTGAGCGTGGAGTGAAGGGACTGATAAGAAGGTTATGGATGGCGCTTTGGTCGAGCAGAAGGCTTGGTAAGTTAGACTGTACTTTCAACTATTTATGAGTCTAGTTGTTTGATAAATTTTGTCATCGGGAGCCCCAAGTGTATCGATAAGTAGTGTTACTATAACTTCCTTCAGAGCGAAGTCGGCTTGTCCGCAATTCACATCTTGCTGTTGTTTGTAAGCCCAACCTTTTTGCTCTCTGTAGTTATTTCCTTGATTTTATTGGTAATTTTGCGCAAGGGTTGCTTGAATAATGTGATTGTGATAGTCAGCTAAACAGACATTTGTTTTGCAATATTTTGAATGTAAAATTCAACCGTGAATATTTTTTTGTAATCGCATGGAAAAGTTATGGCGAAATCTCCCATTGATTACAAAATCCACGGCAAACATTTAACTCGGGATACATTTTAATTAAGTAATTTCGCCGTTTCCCTGTTTTCCATTGCTGTGAATACCACAGTTCTCGCCGCGCTATATCTTGGGACGTGAAAGGACATATCCGAAATCTTCACAGAATGGTACCCACGCTAAAATACACTTGGGAAATGTAAGCCGAGAATTTTCGCGCCCTTAGCTATTTAGAAACGTAAGAATTTCACTCGAATTTTAGAGGTCAGTGAATCTTAGGTGATGAGTTGATTGTTCAAGAAAGGTTTTGTCCATTCATTAATACGCGAGTTACATGAACATAATCTGTTGTCCCATGTGAAGAGGTCGAGTTACACGTTATGGCCTTTCATTTTCGTCGGAGGTATCTCAAACATGTGTATTTGTTGAAGACTCATTCTACTTATCTGTGAAGAATTATTATTCCTCAATCGCACTACGCAAATTGAAATAAAGCCCGGATTATGGCTCTAGCCGACGACTGACGCGGCTATAGCAAAATGTTAAAGGTCGTTTTCCCACGCTCAACGCCAGACCGTATCTAATTTCTTGGCATCTCTGTTTTTACTTTCCTTTCCCTCTCAATCAGACCTCAGAACATCTGTTTGTTATCATAAGAGCCTTGCTGTTAAGATTCTGAATTATTCTTCTCATTTTTCGTCCAAGTGACCCAGGAACCAACCCACTGTTTTGCCCTCATCTTACATTCGATCAGTGTGTTGTGTGATGTGATCGGGTTTATTATTTTTTTTTCTTTTTTTCATCTTCTTGCCGATCTTGACATTCTTTTAGCGATATTAAGAGCTCAAAATCTTTCGGTACTTAGTGGCTTACATCGTCTGATAAACGCTGCAATACTTTTATCTCGTCAACAGCACACTGCTTTTCGCTTCACAAAGCAAGACCTCGTGTTATTTTATTTGCATTTACATGTTGTTGACCTAGGAGAGCGTGGTGCAAAATAAGTTACCGAACTGTTAAATGCACGGTATAGAGGCTTAAAGATGTCGTTCGTGATCTACGATCGCCAATAAATGACATTAGCATTCCATCCTGATGGCTGCATCACTACGGTATTGATACCTAGGACAAGTCGAGGCTTGTCAATCGAACGAGTCTGAACAACTGCCCTAGTGCTATTAGAAAAACGTGGTCACTCCAGCGAAACAATCTCACCCGTTCATTTAGATTTGGTTCACTGCTTTCAAATAATATGAGTTTAAATGTTATATGTTGCTAAATTATACAAACTCACATTTTTTTTTATCTGCATCTGAATTAGGGCTACCAGATTTTTTCCTTGATGCATTCACTGCTATAAATGCAATCCCCCAATTAGGTTATATTCATTAAGCACAGTGAATTGATAAATAGTAGAGGTTCTAGCAAACTGGTGTGCAAAATAGCATAGGTCATGAATTTATTGTAGGACTTCATGAAAACTGGTGAATTAGTGTTGGAGCAGCACAGCATTGCACCAATTAGCTTATGCAAATTTTTCTCTATTTTTATAACGCTATTTTAATGCCCCATGCCTGTTTTTTTTTCTACAGCAAAAAGATAAGGGCTCTTCTTGGGCTGGCCTTGGCATGCTCCCTGGGTTATCAGGGTGGAGTAAAAATGTTTATTTCATTCTTTCAACAGAACATAATGGGCAAGCCCATTATAAAACATAACTGGAACAACTGATTGGAATTTTTAATGTGCAGTGCAAACTATTATATTGTACATCTATTTCATGCAGTTTTTTAAAAGTCCCAAGCAGCTGGAAAAACCTTCCTCCCTTTATTTCCTTTCCAATACTAGTTAATTATGAGAATAAGGGATTTGATCATGCCAAGATTGTCAAAATAGACCAAAATTCCCCTTTGTTTGTTAAGGAGTAAGACACTTGGTAGCACTTAAAAGGTGCACTTTATGTTTCACCCTTATTGATTTAAAAGGTGAAATCCAGTCTACACATATGTGGTTTGTGAATTGGATGTACATGGAGAGATTTTGGAAAAGGGTGAAAGATTCATGGTTTGGAAACTGTACTGAACACAATTTTTAGGGGCCATGGTTATTTATGTCAATGTACCTTAAAATAGAGGCAAGCTCTCTCTGAGATGATAACTTTGCTGAAAATTGCACTAAGATTTTGGACATCTATCCATGATGTGACAAGCTTCCTTGTACCAATAATTGTCTCTTAATTTAATGTTATTTATGTGAGGCTTTTAGTATGATTTAACTAAACAAGTTATTTATGTTTTGTTGTTTGTGTGACCTTGTGCATGGAAAAGTTGGGATCTCTAAAACCAACTGTTATGAAACATCTCAGAGCTCAAAGGTTAATCCTTTCACCCACCTTCTTTTTGTTGTAACTCAATTCTATTGTTTCTGTTTGTCAGATTACAATCATATGACCTCACCATACATTCATGAAAACAGATCTTTAATGAAATTCATGGACCAATTTGAAGGAGTGTTACTTAATTCATCAGTCAGTTAAAGCTGTACTAATTTATATTCATGAATGTTTATTTATTTGATTTCTCTAGTGAGATACGGATTGGTCCACAGTGTGATAGTTCAGACAATGAGCAAGGTAACCAATGTTCAATGTTTATAGTGTCCAAATTAGCACCATGACTATGAGCATGTTATAACTAGCATCTAACATTTTTCATTTTTATTATCACAGACATGTTTTTGCAACATGTCATTAAGCCATCCTTGAACATACCAACTCAGTGCGTGTGAAAAAGTGTGTCCTCTCTTAACTTAATAAAGCAACTACTTCCTGCAATTTAGTATAGGATGAAAAACATTGTCATCTATTGTTAAGCACCCTCTTACAGTAAATATTATGGTAGTACTGAGCAGAATGTTTATCTTTAATCCTCTTATGGCAATCTGACTAAATGTTCTCTGTAAGGAGAGTTAACCACAAGGTATAAATATATTGTTCTTTCAGAGTAATGTTTACAGCATTTGAATGTGAAATGCAAGTAATGATATAATTCTGTTATGAGATTTGAAGAGATCAATAAGGTTGAAATGCTGTCATGCCAGTTTGTGGCCCACATTCAGTTTTGGCAGGTTACTGAAAGACCCATTATACCTTAATTGTTTTAAATAATACAGGAGGCTTTGGTAAGAAGAAAAGTGTGGAAGGTAGAAAAAGAAAACGAGGATCATGGACAGGTATGTTGATGCTTTCTTTAGATGTATTTTTGTGGTCAGCTTTCTTGCTTCAAAAGGAAATTAGTTTCAATTGGATAAACTGATCCAATCTCATTATTTGTAATTTAAAAAATATTTGGTTATTTTATGAAGGAATTTAACTGATAAAAAATATTTGTCATCTGCCAAAGGTTGTGCCCTGAGATGCAATTTCAACTATGAACAGTTTTGTTGATAAAGTTGAACCGATTATGTTCTTAAGTGTTCCCTGTTTTTGGGTATTTGATTTGAAAATTCCCTTCTCTACCTTTGAAGGCCAAGACCAAAGTACATGATATCTTGCTGTGCATGATGTCATTAGAACATTATTCATAAACAGACCACTTAATTGTCATGTTGCCAGTTAGTTTCATTATAAAATCATGATTCTTAATGCTGGTGTATTTAGAGTGAAATACACACTAATTGTGGTATAAAACCATGTCTTTATTGATTTCTGCAATTGTAGACAACTCTACTAAGTGTGTTACTTGTATGTTTCATAGCAAAAATAAATCTGACTGTCATATTGAACTTTAACCTGGAGTGTTTTTCTTGTTTTCCAGATGTTCTTGGGGTGAAAGGTAGTTACAGTCCTCCAGAGCGAATTCCTTGGTGTATTGGGTTCAAATCAACAAGAGCATCAGAAAGTGAGAGTGAAGTGTCTGAATCATCCAGCACAGTTTACTTTGTGAAAGGTTACGAGTCTGCTGTGACTGCTATTGTGACTGACTCTGAAGATGATCTCTTTTTTCTGAATGGTATGCAAGTTAGCATCTTCTTAAAACCTGCAACATTTAACCCTTTCAGTCCGATGATCATATTAGTAATTCTCTATGCTGTCTGCCTTCATATTCTTACCATGTTAGTAAGGGGCTTTGGCATTAAATCAACCAATAAACCCCTAATTCATATTTTTATTTACTCTCATCAGTAATCTACTTGATTTTGTATTGATATTGTAAGGAGAAATTCTGTCTTGGTCTCTCATTAGAGTCAAAGGGTTAAGTGCTGCTTTGCTGAAATAATGTTACTTTTGTGCACTTGAGCTGTAAAGAAGGGAAGACTAAAATTTACTTTGAGGGATCTATAAAGATCAGCTGTAATTTCTCCTAAGAAGTGATAATTTGTAAACTTATCTTTTTACGTCAGTAATATTTGAAAGTTACTCATCTGTTTTGTCATTTTTGTAAAGAGCAAGGGCTGGTTACAGATGAGGTACATGCAACCTTTTAGGAAGGGGTGCAGCCCCTTTTTTTTTTTGGTCAATTTCTTACTTAACTATGATAGGCTGATGTGTATTTATTTTGTTGTAGGAGATGTTGAGACTGTGGAATATGAGCCTCCTGATTCTGACACAGAAGAACCTGAGGAAGAAGAGGAAGATGACGATGAAAGTGATACTGGTTTGTGATAGTAAACATTGTTTGCATTTTTAAGCAGTTGGTCAAAGAGCATATAAGAGGGAACTTATGGTACATAAGTCTTCTGCTGGAATCACCAACTTGCCAACATTTATCAGAAATAAATGTGAAGTCATAGGAACCAAAATTGTAATTATATTTAATTTCCATGGAATGTTTGGTCCCATCCTTCTAGAGGAGCAGATTCAAAGTGTTGTCTGGGATGGTTTGTTTAGTACAGAGCAAGAGATATTGAGCTGCAGAGTTCAACGTGTACATTTTAGTGCAAAGGCATTTTCACTAGTTGAATAACGTGAAATTTTGGATAAACCTTTGAGATGCCCAAGTAACTTTTACCATAGTGAGAAGTCATCCCTAGGACCTTGAACAGAGAAAAAACAGAATTGAGGTAGATATGTAACAGTATTTGAACTCAATACTCATTGGCTTTTACTGTTCTCTATAAGAAAATGTAACCAGTTCAGAAGAGGATCCTGGGGCTGAAGGAGGAGATGAGTATGAAGGGGATAGGGAATCTGATTCAGAATTTGATGAAGATGACTTTTGGGCATGCTCACATTGTGACTTGAAAAACCATCCATTTTCTCCCCGATGTGCTCGTTGCTGGATTGAGAGACATGCCTGGCTGCCTACATTGAAAAGGTCTGTACACATTCAGTTTAATTTGTAGTTTTACATGCATTTTGACTGGGTATTGGAGGATGGACACATAGATGACATCATCATTATCAACATTTTGCTTTTGTAGAATTTCAATGTTGTTGAGGGTCTGTACAGTTAAAGATTACAGAAGACTTTATGATGTGGCAAGAACATCAGTGACACACTCGGCTGTACATTGTATGTCCCTTTTTGTTTTCCACATTGTGATGTCATCTGTGATCTTTTGCCAAACAGGCACAGCAACATGGAATCTATCTGTTCATTTTCAGTAACTCGACAGTAAGTTTTGATTTGAGGTGTTTGAATTGAGTCCGAAACTCAGGTTCATGATAGTTTGACATAACCACAACCAATATGGAAGCAGTACTATCTAAGGTATTTTTACATTTCTCTTTTCTATTTATAGATTGACTTCAGAACCTAATATAGATTTAACAGGATCAACAGACAAATCATGCTCACATTCTCTTCAAAAATCTTCATCACTTGCCGTTACACCAACCATTGACCATCCATCCTCAACAGTGGCATTATCAACAGTTGCGCCACTTCCTAATCTTGCATCATATATTGAGGGTTCATCTTCATCAGTAAAGGAGAATACTGAAAGACTGTCTCATGCTTCAAATCACACTACATCAAAAGCTGAAAATCCCAGCAAAACTTTGCTACAGAACTTCAACAATGAAAACTCTGCATCAGGGTTTACACCTGACTTGTGCATAATTTGCTTGACGCAACCTCGAAATGCTAGTATTGTTCATGGAAGAACTGGTCATCTTGTGTGTTGCATTGGATGTGCAGAGAGACTAAAGGAAGAAAAAAAGAAATGTCCAGTGTGCCGCAAGAAAATCAAACTGGTGGTTAAAAATTTCTTCTAGATCATTAATATTCTTTCATCATGTTTGCCTTCCAGCTTTACTCTTTCTCTCTCTTACTCTCTTTGCCTTCTTCTTCTCACCCAAAATAATATCAGCAAGTGAAAAGATGTATTTCTGAAACAATTGAAAATTTGGGTATGTGCAATCTTTGGAAACAGGAATTGTATTCAGAGGTTCTTCAAAGAGACACCCTTCTTTCCCGACATGTCTCTTTCTTTAGCACAATACATTTGTCCTGTCATATTTTAGGACTTTTTGACAAGGTGGCATGGTTAATCTGTTCCAGATAAGTATCTCATACTAAGGTGTGAAGACAGTCATCTGTGGCTAATTTTTTGCCATGTCTGACTTGCGGGGTGATAATTTTTTCTTCAAGGTGAAGGTAGCAGTTTTTTTGTTTGTCTATTTTAGAATTAAGTATAAGTTGAAACATTTTTCCTACAATTTAGTTCAATTCTCAATACTTTAATATCAATAACACAGTCCAGCCATGCATATTTGAAATTATGTTAAATGTTTTATAAAATTATGTTTTTAACATTGATGTAGTTTCCATGAGTGGAACACTGTCCATAATGTTACTGTGTTTTCAGGATTTTGTTAAATTGTGAAGTACAAGCTTACATTAAGCAGAAATTCATGAACTTCCCTGAAAACATTCCAGTGAAGAATCCCCCAATTTTAAATACTTTTTTATGTTTCTTATAATAGTATCTAATTAGATGTTTAAAAAGTTATAATTTATTTCACTTGATGTAAGAGATAAAATGCCTACTTAGGGGTTTTCCATCGTGTTTACACGTAACCAGTAGTGGTAGCATTTTTACATCCAAAAAGTTTTATTTACATACTTTGGTTGATACAATAATAATTAAGCTAAATGAAACTAGCTTTTATAGCATTGCTACCTGCTGAATTTTAATCAAGATTATTTTCCAAGTAATAGCGATCTGAGAAAAGTATTTTTACCAAATTAATGACTTTTTTTACTTAGCATCATGTGGAAACTGTTTACTCCACAGTGTCAAGAAAGAACCTCTTCATAAAGCCACCGTGTTTTGATTTAACTGTTTCCACATTTGCCACAGTTTAAAGTTGTCAATATTAGTAGAAGATGACAAATGAAACGAGTTTGAAAACTTAAGTTTAATATTGTCATACAAAGAATGAAATATGAATGATAGAGAACATAGCTTGGGGATTCATTTCTTTGCTTTTTTTTCCTTATGTGTTATTTACTACGTAAAGTTTATCAAAAATTGTGAATTGCTAGACAATTCCTATGTCTGTACTTATTGCACTTCTTGCACCGTTGCATGATGGGTTTTGGTCGAGTGTTTGTAACAGTTTTAACAACAACAACATCGTTGTAACCACTGATTGTTTCGGTTTTTTATCATATTAGGAGAAGATGTTTAGTCTGAGGACTTTTTAGTGGGTAATTTTCTGGTTTCTTTTCATAGTCAGCATGTTAACTTAAAAAGATCTCATATAATAAGAATGCCTTTGTAAGGTTATCTCGTAACTGTATTGTGACAAACTCATACTCCCAGTCCTCTGGGTATTTTTGGTTTTACTAAAAAAACTAGAGGACTGCCACATTATCGTATCGCTTTTTGTTCTATTAATCACGTTTTTTTTTCAAAAGATGACATTATTCAATTATAAACTTAAATTGGTCTAAGATAAATTGATTCAGCTAATGACCTTTTAGTGGATAGGAAAAATTTACTTATTTCTTATAAAGTCAGCATCAAAGGAGATTTCATACGTAGAAGTTCCGTCTATTTCTTTACTGGATGTGTAGAAGTTTTGAAGGGTAATAATTTTTTTTATAGAGGTGGAAAGCATCTTAGTACTGTATGTGATACAAACTTAATTTTTAAAGTGTGTCAACATATTTTATTGAAGTTAGATTACTGAACAATATAACAAATATATTTTTAAGGCAATAAGGCAATAAGACGTATTTTTATCATATTGGTTTGTATTGCACCAGCATAATTCAACTTAGTGTGCTGAACTATATGACCATGTTATGGCTGGACTGTGTTGCTGATATAAGTGTATATATTATATGAAATCATAGGTCTAATATTACTTAAAATTTAGGTATTTTAGAGCGTGTTTCATTCGAACGTTACAAAATTGCAGCCAGAGTTTTCACCAAGGCCAGTCATAAGGAAAGAAAGAAAATGAAACAAGAAGCAAATGAGAACACAGGGTGAAAGCAAGCTAACGTTTTGAAGCGCGGGAAAACGCGACTGACCGAATCACGATTGGTTAGGATTTTGTGTATTTGATTGGTTGACAGAGTCGCGCGAATTTTTCTTGACCAATCATAGATCCTGGTGATGACGATCAATTGAAAAGTACTCTAATTTTTGTTAAACGAAGATAAAATCTGTTACCTCCCAAATACAGACGGGCTTTTTTAAAATTTAATTTGTTGCTTTGAGTGATGTTTAAAATCCTGAGAATTTTCTCAGATCTGTGGAGGCGATTCAATGGTATTCCAAACTGTCGACTTGTTTGAAATAATCAAACACATCAACAAGCACAACTGCTATCGATTATTTTAATTTTATTTGCTTTAGAAGTGCACTGTATACTTAAATAAGAGTAGTGTCAGTATTTTTAGTTTTTTCCTACTTCTTAGGAAAGTTAAAAGAACAAGTTGTTTGTTTTGATTCGTTTTTAGTTGTTGTTTTTCATTTAAGTTTGTGCGTGTACCTTAATGTAGCCTGCATGACAACAATTAACTTATGTTAATGTAGATTAGCGTTTTCATATCTTTTGGTAGCTTTATCAAACCAATGTATGATCTTGGAACTGACAGATCTAACTTGACGTGCTGCGGAGACTTCTAGCAGTAAACTTTGTTGCTGTCAATTCGTAATAGAGTTCCTATCGTTGTTCTGTGACACAGCAGTTCGAAAAACAGCGGCTCATTTTGGACTCCAAAAAATGATTCAAACATTGTGCTGTTCTTATTGTGCTCTGCTGCTTTATTAAGGCCTTTTATTTGTTTGATGTATTCTAGTTTTTCTAAATGTGTAGCTTTGTCGCAGTTCTCGTAGAGGAAGAAAACAGTTAGATAGTTGGCAACCAGTTGGGAAAAGAATGTGTACTTTGTTAAAAGCAAAGGATGATCCTTTGCTTCTTTAGAAATGAGGTCAATTAAAGTAAAGTATGTTTTTTTTCTTAATTCTGTAGGATTTTTGTGCTGTGTAATAAACCCTAACCCCTTATAAGAAACCACCCACAGTGTGTAGCCACAATATTTGCACCTAGAACATTCTGCCGTAAGGTAAAGTAGACCTACAATACCAATACAGGGTACCCGGCAGGAATTGAACCTGTTGAACAGTGTGCCTTACGATAAATAAGCCTACCAAGCAGGAGACCCAGCATTTGCCGAAGCTTGTAGACAAGGAAGCGAACCATCTGCATGGGTTGTCTAGCATTTGGTGAACCTCTAGGACAGGGCACGTAACACCTGAACCTATTTATCGCATAGAGAACCTAGCGCTGAGAGGACTACCACACAGGGCACTTATCGTTTGGTTAACCCTCGACAAACTGTACCTTCTACAACATGCGACAACCGCACAGTGATCTGAGGTCAGCATCTACGTTATTATAGAAACACGAGACTCCTCAAATAAAAATATTTCTTTTTTTTCATCCACAGATAAATATCGAGACAAAAATTCACGTATCCCTTCACTTTTTTCGAAAAATATACCTAAGATTTAATTCTACCTTAGAGATAACTTGGTGGTTATCGCAAGCAATGTAATTAAAAATTTTATGCCAAGTAACTGGGAGCCGTAGGCTAAACTGTTGGCTCAATTTATTACAACTCCTCTCGCACTCGTTTGCAGTTAGTGTCATAAAACTGTATTTCAGCTTCGAAATGTCTAATGCATCTGGGGGAAACAACAACTTCGTTTGTGGTCGTGCGTTGATATATCTGTTGAAAGAAGTGAAAATGGATTGCAAATTACTTTCTGCGAAATATGATACTACTAATCAGTCTCCTTTCAGAAATGTCAATTCTCACTAAAAGCCGGAAAAGCAGAAGACAAAGGCCTCGTACTTCAACGGCAAAGAAGATCTCGGCAGACTCCGCTCAAAATAGGATTCTCCCACATTGCCTCTTCTCTGGCCGGGTTTTTCTTGAACTGAAGTTATGATAAATAAGTTATTTTGATAGTAAGACCGGTAAGTTACATTATGAGCTGTTAAAAAGGACTTAAAATGTGTTCTTCCAAAATGTCACACTAATTAATTCTTAGCGCAAGAGACTCCTAAAATTGCATATCCCAAACCACTGCAGCTTCAAAAATCGTAGCGTACATTTTATCTCTCTTCCTTCCACAATAGTACTTGTGATTTCATTTCTGTGGACCTTTTTTATATCCGAGCTTGGCATTTTGTAATACTCAATCTTATTTTGTTTCCTTACGCACTATCTCTATAATCAAGTGTTATGTATAAATTGTGTCCCCACGTTAACATCGAGATTTCGTAAACAACAGTCATTTAGTTTTCAAGACAAGACGGTTACACTGTTTTTGGGTGTTTTTCAAATACAGAAAATTGCCCGGTCTGATTTCGGTCTGATTTAGAATGGGAATAACTGATAATAAAAAATGTCAATCTTGAACGAATCTCTATAACTCAATTCCCTCTTTAAAAACTCTCCCTTGAATTTTGTGTCACTTTGCCACACTCGTAAGTTTTCAGGAGTTCAAACCTATTTGCGGTTTTATATAATTTTTTTCGTCTGAGGAAGTCAATCCAATGACAAAGAAAGCCAATCTTTTATTTCAAAAACAGCTGCACAGTTTTCATCAACAACTGATTAACGAAAACCAAGAAAAAATGCTGATCGATATTGTCTTGAGACACAGCAATAGGTTTCCAATGTTTGTTAACGAGAATACTCTAAGAAAAATATTCTGTCTTTAAAATTCAGTCATAACGGTGTTTTCTAGGACTCATTTCATAAAGTTAGCCTAAGGTTCCTGGTAAGGACTTACCAAGCCTCATGGAAATGAAAAGCAATTAAGTTTAATTTCACTTTTGAGTTGGTTTGACGCGTTGATGCACCACCACAAACAAAATCATCCCTTGTTTTTATCTTATATGTCACAACTCGAGAGGAAAACTATTAAATCGCGATTGATTGTGCTACATCGATTCACGATGTTAATCTCTAAAAAAATAAGGTATTGAGGGTACCATCTGAAGTCTGTAAACATCATTAAATTTTCAAGACTAACTGCTATTTAACATGCCAATTTCAGTCATACGTTACCACTTTGCTTAACAAAAAAAGCATCGTTGATAGGACAAATCTAATTTATTCACTGATATTTATCTTATTGTAGAAAGACCACATGTTGCTAATGTTTTCACTTTGTTCAGTATAAAAGTAAAACAACAGCTTCTCGATACAACTGTTATAAATACACATACTCCATTGCTGGCGCCATCGAGTTATGGATTACTCAAGAGCTAAGTCGCCGAATATTGGAAATGTTTTGAACGCGCGGAGACTCGCTCGAAGGAAGTTACAAAGAAGCGCGATAAGAGAACGGGAAAAGCAAGAAATAGAGAAAAAGGTAAATAGAAAATACAATGTCATTTACCAAATACGTTTGACTTCCAATCTGCAGTCAGCTCTCGACCAGAACCGCTTACAGAAACACCGAACGTCCTTATGTCAATTTTTTTTTTGTTTTATCGACGCGAACTTTTGAAACGAAGTGGAGGGCAAAAGATTCGTAATCAGAGATGACATACCCCATGTTGCGGTCGGGTACGCCGGCTTAAGTATTTCTAAATTAAAAAAGGACTGTTTATCAATAACACCACAGTTTGTTGCCAGTGTTGATACAAAAAAAAAATTGAAATTTTCTCACATCAAATGTATTCAAAACAAATACCCTTTTAAATGACTGAAAAAAGAATCTTATTGCATGCAATTTAATTTCATATCAAAGAAAGATGTATTTTCGTATATACATTTGTAGAATCCTCTATTCTCTCGTTGTCTTAGTAACCTAAACCCAAAATAAGTTTCACATTTAATACCGTTTGGAAAAAATGACTCTCGAATCGTAAATTATGCACAACACTACAGGTATGAGGGAGTCCTGACTAGTGACTAAAGGGGGCGCCCTTGGGAGTTATCTTGGTAGAAGAACTATATCTCGGTTTTTACTACAAGCTTGTTTATATATGCGGGAGAGACGGGATGCAGGGTGGGGGTTTAGGCTTCCTTATCTAGATTGGCTGCTGCTTTGTTAATCATCAGTTGAGGGGGTTAACAGTCAGGGGGGTCGTAGGATGCATATTGTCCCCCTCCCCTGGTTTGAAAAAGCAATGATTTATACCAGGAGCCTTATGCTAATAATACATCCCAGTATGCTCCTCAACTCAGACAAAAGACTGTACAAGACTCTTTCCCCCCCCCCCCCCCATCTTTTGTGGTATAAACTTTTCAATTTAACGAAACATAGATGATATGAACTACCGACATATTAAAGGAAGCTTCCAAAACACTTGTTAGATAGTTGTTTATTACAATCGATAAGAGGTTTTATTAGCGTTGGGGTAATTTACAACGACGTGAAGATGGATCAACTAGTCAGTCATTAAAACCTTTCAAATCACAGCTTTGCTTGTTTAAAACACAATGCAACGCTTTATCAAAGTAATCTGTTCTTGAAACCTGTCAATATTTCTTTTGTTTGGGTTAATTAGACGCTTAAATGAAACTAAAAAGTACAACCATATTCAACTCGTAGCGCATTGTGAAAGCATCCACATTGTTATTAACATGGAATATCATAGAAACTATAAAAGGTCCAAAAAAGCGACTGGTATTTTGAAAAAACGCTTAGTGCCAGTTCCAGCACCCACACCGGAAATTGTGGTGAAAAAAGTAAGTCAAGAGGTTTGTTGAGGGTAAAATGTAAATTACTCGAGTAGAGTCGATCAAGGGTAGCCAAGTGCTCATCATGACACTCAACGTCATTCACTTGATGGCACAGATTACTGAATTGTATTCCAATGTTCGAGTAGTTGGCTTGGCTTCTTTGCCATGTTTGTGTATGTTTTCCAAACACAGTACATGTACTGAGAGACCTCGGCGACGTGAGAGAGGACAGTAGTTACTCCTTTGTGAGGTAGATGTGGACAGAAGCTGGGGGAATCACAACGGTTTTATAAGTTTATTATGATACTTAACTCACTTGATGACAGTGCTACATCCCTCTTTGGGAAAAAAACATCCCTAAACTTAGGGATGAAGTTGAGCACAAGCCTTTGAAATGTCAACGGAATCTTACAAACGATAGGCTCTCCCGTCATCACATTCTCCTTGAAACCTTCCTTCAACTTGCTCAGCATGTTTCCATATTAATTCAGTTCATCAGCTTCTCTTGATCACTTTCCTTTGCACGCTTTGAATCCTAAACTCAGAACTGGTGCAAATTACTAGTAAGCGATGAGTTATATTTTCGGTCGCCTTCCATCAGGAATTAGAAAGTCTTTGGGTGTTACCATGGCAATTATTAAAATATCGATTAAATCAAATGAGATTGGTTTGCATATGGGTGCAATAGTGGGCGATGTGGCTTGTCGATAGTAGATTACTCATGATTGGAAGGGTAATACTTTCTATAGGATACCGCGCCTCTAAGTTCTCCCTGCCTATTTTGATGAATAAAGAAAGAAAGTTACCACAGCGTATCAAAAGACCAGTAATAGAATTATCTCAGTTTTTAGAGCACTTTGGTTCGGCAGTGGGGTAGATAACTGCATAACAAAACATAGAAGGAAATTGAATTACAAAATCAAGGAACGAATAATTATTTTCATTGGCCTCTCGAGACGTCTCTACCCCCACCCCACCTTGTACATGATTTGAGTGAAATAAATTTATGACGGGGGAGGGGTGGGGGTAAGGATCCAACTAGGAATTCGCAACCAATTTTAATTAACTTTCACAAACTTAACAAGCTTCTAAATCTTATTCAAAATTGTCGAAAATAATTAGAAGAGATTTCGTCCGTTATCTTGCAAACAACTAAATGGTCTCTAAAGACTGTCGGCATTTTGAAGTCTCTTATTACCGGCTAACAAAGCTAATTAGCGTCTCATCAAAACGGTCGTTTATTGGACGACGTATCAGAGTTATTATGCCTTTGATCTTGACCTATTTAGTGGCTCAAAATTATCGTACACAAAAAGTATTGCCAAGTCAATCCTTACAATACCGTTCGGAATTTACAGAGCTGCAAAGTCTAGAAGTTCCAAGTATATAGTTTTTAAGATGCATGATAGTCAAATTTGATTTTTACAGAAGGTATGGAAAATTTAGACGTTCCACATCGCTTAAAGCGTGGTAAAACCCCTCCAAAAGTTTCACGCAAAAGAAGCGAACTCGCTACTAAGGTAATAACAATAGTAACTACGATATTGACCTCTAAAGGTTTGGTCGTTTCTTGTCATACGAAAGCAAGTATTTCGCAAAAGTCAAGTTGTATGCTCGGTATAGAGTGATTAGAATTTTAATCCAGCTTTTTAAATCGATTTCCTGCAAAATGTAGTGCATCCTGTTTACTGAAATGCCAATTACTCCTCCCCCCATCCCCCCAGTCCTACGACCCGCACGCGCACGGAGATTTTAGGTCAGTTGCATAGCAACGAGTGTCACCCAGGAGTAAGGCCGTATTCAAAGATGGCGGAGAAGAAGTCTCGATCGGCCATTCGAATAAAATCTTCGGAGAGAGAACGGAAGAAATCTGCAGCGAAACGGGACTCGGCAACAAATCGAAACAAAGGCCAATCTGTTAGTGTTTTTGTTAGTTTCATGTCTTTATATGTAGATCTGGATAGACAATGCGTTGTTTTGTTTTGCAAAACTTTTCGACTTCAGCTGATGTTTACAGTACTTTTTACTTTGTTGTGATCATCTTATTGTATTTCTCTCTGTACTGCGACTTCGTATGAGTTCAGGATTTCTATTTGGTCTTTATGGCAAAGTTACGGGAAGAGTTTTAAGGCGACATTGTTCTAAAAAGGTCGTTATCGTGACTTAGAAGTAGTGCAAAGAACGATTTTCAACTTAACGTTTTATGGAAGCAGCATTTTGTTCATGTTTTGAATGTTGCAGTAAGAATCCAGGTCTGAAGCGTCATTTAATGAATTTAAATTCAAAGTAATCGTGCACTATTTCTATGTGATTGTGCATTATTTCTGAATAGATGTCAATTAATTGTTTGAAAAGTAACGCGAGACCTGAATTGATCTCTTTGTGCTAGTGCTGGTGTTCATTAGTATGACTTGAGTTAAGTTTCGTGTTCTTCTTATTGAAGGAGGAAGAGGAGAAAGAGTCACTAGCATGGAAGGTCCTTTCAGAAGAACAGACTCAGTCTCTGAAGGAACTTACTGTCCTTGAATTGGAAGTGTAAGTCGATTTCTAATGAACCAAACTTAAATTTATTCACACTACAGTTGGGTAAATGTAGATTAGGAAGTCAATTTTCTGTAAAATTTTCATGCCTGACGGATAGACCTGGATTGCTTGTTCATTAGCACATTAACAAGAGAACAAACTTCAGTTTTGACAAAAATGAAAATAAGTTCTGAACATGGCACAAACAAATTTGTAAACATTTTGTGCAATCAAACGAATTTGTCCACTGTCAATAGACTTTGCACCCCACCATTTAAGATAGTAACAATTCGTTTAACTTCTGTATGTACTGATTGACATATATTATTCTGTTATGACCTCAGGAAACTTGCAGAAGTGCTGTCCATTGAAAATTATCACATCTCTCTACCAGAGGCCTGTGTACTGGATTACTATGTTGCAGGGTTTTGGTATCCTTTGTAAAAAGAAAAATCACTTTTTACTAAAATCGGAATCAAAGACAATAAACAGGCGATAAGAATACTCAAACTTATCAGGTAGAAATTGTTATCTATATCTAACACCATATTCTTGTGAGTAATTTACAAAGAAATTTGAAGTAGCTGGAAGGGAGAATTAGTAAACAGTTCTTGGGAGTTGAAGGATTAAATGAACCAACCCATCAAATGATTGTGGTCTGTTTTTTTTTTTTCTGGTTTTGTCCACATCATTGCAGAGAGATTAGATGAGAGGTGATCGTTTGTGATAAAAGAGTTTATTCAATTTATGATGACAGACAGATGACAGACCGTAAGATGATTCTTCCCTGTATTGTAATTAAAAATAACTTGATAATTTGTAGTATCAATGTGCAACAGACTGAGGTTTTAATTGATAAGACCACTCCTTGCTTAGTTTTACCTTGACAATGATATTATGTAGGTTTACAAAAGAACAGAATTTCACCCTTCAGCAAATATCTGCATTTTTCACTCTTTTGAAGGAAATGCTAGACAATATTAAAGGTAATAATCACATCATTGATAGTAGTGGATGCCCCTGGCAGCAATTCAGCTAGTTGTTCACTAGTTACTGTTGAAACAACTACTTAATTGTAGGACTTAACAATTTTTTTTTCTTCTCAGAAAAACAATTTTCATTGGTTGACAGTATACAAAAGTTCAAGTCACTTCTGGCAGGGATTGGAGTTGAAAACTGTCCGCTAAATGGGGGCCTGGAATGTTTTGATGTAAATCAGGCAAAGCTCATAACTGATTACTTTACTGACAGGTAAATTTTGCATTACATTTAATTTTGTGGAGATAATGTGCTTCTGTTAACGTGAGTGGGAACAATTTTAGGCAAAACAAAGGATCATTATAGATTATATGTTAATGATAATAATGAAGATTGCGATGATAAATAACCAAGGATAGCACTTTAGGAAGACTTGGTCATGGTGACTTGTAAGCTGTAAAATTCAATTTAAAGAACGGAAACATTAAAGTTTTGGGAATCTAAATCTAACAAGGATAGAGCTTTTTTCGTCAAATATTAAAAGGTAAAAGTATATGAGTTTATCCTCTTTCAAGATGTTTAATCCATTCAAGAAAATGGAATCCAATATAATGAAGGGTTTTTTATAATAAAGCAATCACACAGGAACTCCTATTGACTTTCAGCTCTCAATGTGATTGGATAAAACTATAATTGTTGATCTTTTGCAGTTTGTTCCAGCATTACAAGTTGTACCAGTTTCTTTTTACTCAGGAGCCACAAGAGGAAGTCGTTATATCTGAGGTTTGTACTTTAGTATTACTGCATTATTCTTAGGGTTGTGTCCTTGTGTACCGGTACACAAAGGAACGAAACATTAACGAACTGCGTCACAACTCCATGTATGGATATGAAAACAATAGGAATTCCCCCGTGTACCGGTACACCAGGACAGCCCCATTCTTAGGTTTAAAATTGTTTTGTTAAAGTACAGTGCATGTACATTTTCAATCACTTCTCCAGAATTAAGGAAAACAAATTAAGTGGCAATCCCTTATTTTTTGCACAGTTGGAAGTTGAAGTTCCTCCACTGGCTAGCATTCCATTTCCACCTCCATTAGATGAAGGCATGACTGAGGAAATGTGGAGGGAACATGTGATGACACCACCACAGTCACCCCAACCAGAAGAACAGACAGAAGTAAGCATTGCCCTAGCATTAGCAGAATTGATATAAATATATAAACTGGGCAAATTAGACCAGCTTTTGATCAGTTTAATTTTGCATTTAATGAAGGGTGACTTCAAATGAATTTGCTCATTGCCCTCTGTTTTTTTTAGACTGTTCACTTTGTGAAACAAATTGGACATTAAGCAGGAACATAGAGTAGAGTTCAAAGTCTAATGAGAGAGGAAAATAAGCATATTGGGGTTTTGTTTGCCTCCCCTTTGTTGGCCTCCCCTTTGTTGGCCTCCCCTTTGTTGGCCTCCCCTTTGTTGGCCTCCCCTTTGTTGGCCTCCCCTTTGTTGGCCTCCCCTTTGTTGGCCTCCCCTTTGTTGGCACCCTTGTACCTCACACTTGCACTTCTTTTCATCAACTTTTCTACTATGGAAATGACTGTGTTACTCAATTTCAAAATGATATAGCACTGAAAAGACATTCTTTGTGAGTCGATTTTTACATTTCATCATTATGATAACCACGCACATCTATGAGGTCACAAAAATTGACAAATTTCAACAGATTGGGCTCATTAGACTTGATTTCAAAAGCTATTTTGATGTTAGCTACCTAATCTTACCTGTGTTTGTAGGGAGAAAAGGAACAATCAGGAGAAGAAGGTACATGTAATTTCTTGTTCTTGGAAACTGCACATTACACCTCGTCACTCTTGTATACTCTTAAAGTCCTTAAAGAATACTGTTTGAGCTAATGTAGCCTTTCTTAAGGAAAAAATACTTATTTTTATCACAATTTTTATTTCTTTCATTTTTCTTTAGTTTCAGTCCTGTTGTAATACTTCCATGTCATGTTTAATTAGTTTTCTTTTGAATTGTTTGTAGCTCATTCAGATAATGTTGCCCACTCCAAGGATCAAACTGCAGAGAACATTTTATCATCCATAGAACCCGCCCAGGTCAAGAATATTGTGAAGAAAGTAGCTGATGAAGTGTTGGGAAATTTTCAGGTGGTTATTATAGCTGAGCCTTGTTGAACAACCACAGTCAGACTTGAACAATACATTGAGTGAAGGATTAATTTTTATTTACGGAGTAGTTTCTTCAATCTCAGCCAGAGTCACTTGTTAATATGTTTAAAGGCAAGATACTTCCCTCAAGTTTCCCTCTCAGAAACACAACACAACTCAAAGGTGTTTTTAAATCCTCTTAAAGGAGAAATAAGTCCTTGTCCCATGAAAGTATTATTAATCAGTTTTTTTTTCCTTTGTTACATAAGGCTGAAGTTGAGGTACGGCTTAAGGAAAGAGAGACAGCGTTGGCTGCTAAGATTGGAAAGCTACAACCAAGATAGCAGAACAAATCTAGTATTACAAATTTTGGAGTCTGTTCATATCACTTGAAAAAGATAGTCTGTAAATACATTGCTCAGTAGGTTAAAATTCAATTAACTAATTGTTAAGAGCTAAATCCAACTGCATTTCTGGAGAGAAGCCATACTCCTCAGTAAACAACTGTACATAATAGTTAAACCTGAATGAAAGAACTTTGAATATAATAGAATGCAAAAAAGGAAAGTTGCAAATAAAGAGAAGCTGACACAGTAAACATTTGAATGGCTGCATTAAACACACTTTGTTAGACCTAGAAGTCCCTTTCAAACTTAGTGGGTATGGAATGTAAATATAAGTAACTCCACAGCTACTTTGTAATGCTTTATCTGGGAAACAGAAGCAAATTCGGAATATTTTTAAAACTCAAAAGTGTGAAATGCTAAAAGTATGCAGATTAATTCTGGTGTTTCCTTTGGCTTTAGTATAATACTATCTGAGGCAAACTAGCCCAAAGAATTCTTCATGGGGTGATTTTACAGCATAGTTTATAGATTTCATTCAGACAATCATAAGAGACAAACCTCGAAACAAGATCAAAAGAAAAAGTGGTAGATGTAAATTTACTAAATGTGACTGGAATAAGCTTTTAACTCTGGTTTTATCCAGATTTTTTTCAAAATACAGAAACACCATTCCATTTGCTTCTGAGCAAAACTCCACTGAAAAAAAATTCACCGAGTATAGTTGCAATTGTAATATATCTGTTGAGTGATTAGAATTTTCTATTTGGGACAATGGCAAGTTACCAGCATGACTTGTGATTATTAGAATTAGCTCATTAAACATTGAAGTCACAATTATTGAATCTTTTAAGAAATTTAGCATGAAGACCTTGCTAGGAATATTTCCATCCAGAGAACCAGCTAGTTTCTAAAATATTGGAGACGATTATTTCCAAATTCTGCAACAACAATGTCACCATTCCGACAGACTGCCAAGCCCGTTGGCTTATTCAGCTGTCCCATTTCATTTCCATAACATCCAAACTTTGATAGGAACCTTCCATCTTTGGTAAAAACTTGCACTCTGTGGTTGTAGTCATCACAAACTAAGAGATTTCCTGCTTTGTCCACTGCTAGTCCTGTTGGTGATTTAAACTGGCCATTCCCAGATCCCTCTTCACCAAATTGAAATAAAAACTCTCTAACGTCATTAAAAACTTTGATACTATGGCCTTTGAAATCAGACACATATACATTGTTTTCATGGAAAGTGCAGTCAAATGGTAATTGAAGTCCACAAGCTCTACCATCATAGGTTAGGAGAAGGTCCCCTTCAGAGGAAAGCAGTTGGACACAACTTTTTCCTGAATTGCAGATAATAATGTTTCCCTCAGGATCTAGTGATATCCCACGTGGTTCTTTCAGTCCTCCCTCATCTCCAATCTTTTTGCATAATTCATGTTTGGAATTGAACAGAAGTATTCTGTTTAAACCTCTGTCTGTGACATAGATCCTTCCTGAAGAATCAGTGCAGATTCCAGAAGGAGAATAAAACACACCACGTGCAAAGGTTCTTGAAAAAGGCTCATGATCTCTCAAAATCTGCACTTTTTTATTGTTCAAGTCAGTAACGTAAATGTCATCTGAGGTATTAACAGCAACTCCCCATGGGTTATAAAAGTCTGAATGACTCACAGCCACAGATGCATAATTTCTCCCCTTTATGTTAAGAAGTAAAGTCTGCTTTATAGGTTCTCCATTTATTGTGAACTGAGCCCTGACCTTTCCCAACAAATTACTGTAAAAGGAAATTATATACTTTCCATTCTTCTCATCCACTGTTTTCCACACAAAGTCACGTGAACAGTCTGTTTCCCACACAAAGTCACATGAACAGTTTGTTTCCACAAGGGAAAATTTTGAGGAAATGCTGTCATTTGAGCTGTAACACTGATCCCCACGTGAATTCCTTGAGACAATCTCAATCTTTGTCTCTTCACCAACCATAGCTGTACGTTTTGCAGTTACAGTACACTTACTTGCCACAGTTGCACTACACGACAGAGTACCCAGTGTTGTACTTCCAAGATCATCAATCTTTTCAAGAAAAGAGTGGTTTGGAATGAAGTCCAAAATTAACCTTTCCTCACCTTCATTTCTACATGGGGGTTCAATCTTCAATTCATGAAGGGACTTACTGACATGGGATTGCAACTGCACGACTTCTGCTGCAGTACCTCTGTTAACCAAGTGTTCAATCTGTGATATGGTTTCTTCATATTTGGTCAACTGTGCCTGATATGCTGTACTTCTTACTGAAAGTTTTTCAAGTGCTGCCTTGCCCTTATCTTCAACTTCTGAAGTGAGTTTTTGCTCAAACTGTTGAAGTTTACCAATAATTGACTGGGTTGTATTTCTTATTTTTTCAACGGTGGCTTTAGTGCAATTTTCTATTTCGTTCATCTCTTCTTTGAGGTATGTGTGAGTTTTACCAGCACTTTTAGCCAAGTCTAATTGAATCATGATGTTTTCCTTGGCAGCTTTCGCCGTTAACTCCAAATGTTCAACATTATGACCGACATGGTCGACTATGACACAAGTTTGACAAACGGGGACGTTGCACATTTTACAGAAAAATTTCAGCACTTGTCGCTCGTGGAGTTCCTTCAAGCAGAAAGCCGGTCGTTTAAGAACATCTTCGAAGTCTTTGTCTTCGAAATCCTTTAATGAGAGAACACGATGATCCTTGTTCGCACGAATGATATTATGCCCACTTAGACAAACACTGCACCAAAACTCCCCACAATGGAAGCAATAAGACACTTTCTCGTTTTTCTCACCACAGTTACCGCAAGTCACTTTAGCATTGCCGCACTTCTTGATGGCCAAAATATCCAGAAGATTTTTTTGATAAAAACAGTCTGGTAAAGACTCCATTGTACCACAATCAGGCACAGCTACTTCACGTTGGCAAAGAGGACATCTTATCATGCCATTTCGTTTGCTTGTTCGAGCAACATTGTTAAGACATTGTAGGCAAAATGTATGTAGACAAGGCAGCTGTTTGGGATCTGTATATAACTGCATACATACAGAACAAGTTACTTCCTCCTTTAGGTTATGCATCAACGTTGGAACATCCATAATTACTTCGATTTCAACGTCAAGTGAAGGTATCAGCTAACCAAGAATGGTAGCGACAGTGAAAGAAGTACCACGTTAACTAAGACTGGGACCGAAGGTTCCATATTTGGTTAATCCAAACTAAAAATACCCGTGTCAACATGGAGAACATAACAGACTTTGTCCGGTGGTCTTTAAGTTAAAGGTTTTCCTCATTTTTTCCCGTTTCTAATGTTACATGTCACGTCATCTGTGAAGAAACTATATATTTAATCATCGTGACCTTTGATTACCTCTATCGTGCGCAGTCGTTCCGAGAAATATGATGAAATAAGAAATTACACGGAATTAGTGAGAAGCGATTGACGGCATTGATTTCTCGTAATGACTAAATGTTCGAAGACAGGGTTCTAAATATATCTTGATTTATCAAAAAGCGATCTCATGATTTGGACTGCAGAAGCGTATTGTGTGTATCGTGAAAGACGCGTGTACAACTGATGGTTCTAAATGCGTCAGTTACTCCTTGTGAGCACTTGTTAATCATCAGTAGACATCAGCCGTATAGCTGCGTGTAAATAATGGAATTAATCGAGATAAGCGGTACGTTCTTCTCGCACTGGGTAGAGAGTTCTTCTTCAGATATAAAACTGCACAGAGAGGACTCCAAAACGTCCAAAGGATCCAGAAAATTATCAAGATCGAGAAAAACATCTAGACAAGATTCGAGAACTTCTGTCTCCAAACTCTACTTACCAAAAGCAAGATATTCTGAGGATGAATTTAAAGAAGCCTTACAAATGTGGATACAGCATCCAGAGCACGAGGAAACCATGCAGTTGAAGAAACTAGTTAGACAAGGTGTCCTTCCCAAACTCAGATCTGAGCTGTGGAAGGATTCTAGCGGTGGAGCTGACATCATTTTTAACTCTCCTCACTATTATGAAGAAATGATTGATGACATAGGTGAGCTATCAGTCATTGTCTCAACATTACTGTGTTACAGTGAAAATTAATGATTGTGGGCAGGATCAACAAAAAAAAAAAAGCAGCAGTAACCAGAGACATGTTCAGAGTCACAGTGGAGAAACATAATTTTGACCTCTTGCATGCAAGCAGGCATCCTACATGTAGATAAGACTGATCTTTCTGTAGATTTCAAGGTCTTTTTCTTTATATCTTCAACCTTGAGACTTGTGATGTTTGTCAAATTCACTTACAAACACTTTCTTTGTTTGAACTTTTGTATACTGACTGACACAGAAATTTTGGTTGTTTCATTGACTGACTGGCTGACTGTCAGGTTGCCTGACTGTCTGTCTGGCTGCCTGCCTGACTGTCTGGCTGCCTAACTTACTGTCTGGCTGGCTGACAGACCGACTGTCTGGCTGATTGACTGACCGACTGACAGAGGGATGGGGTATGGTTAACCTACCTTTGCAAACTTTATCTCAACCATACCAAATGTAACAGGCTGACATTTTCAGCATTATTTTATGAGGAGCAAAGTCTCTGTATGTGACTCTAAGATCATTGTCTTGAGACTGACTGATTGATTGATGATGTAACCACTGTTTTGCAGGTATTCAAGTACCCTCCAGTATACCTTCAACAATTTTTAGTGGCAACAGAAATGTTCCTTCATACCTATTATCACCAGATGGAGAGAAGACCTGTCTAAAAGTCCTTTATATCTTGTCTCACATGCACCCTGATATCCAATTTGCTCCTTTGGTTCCACCATTAACATCTCTTTTCCTTCATTTCATGGAGGAAAATCTTTGTTATACTTGTATGTCTGCTTTAGTGAATTCTCACCGCTCTATGTTGGACCAAAGTCAGAGGGCCTTTGCTGTGATGGCAAAGACATTTCAAGATTCTTTGAAGTCTTATTTTGTAAGTTGATTTGTCAATGGGTATTGCTAAAACTTTTGCACCAGGCCATTGGATGATTTTTTAAATATTTGAAAACTATGTGAAAAATTTTGTGTTGAGATTGGTACAAATTATTTTCTTTAGATTTTTATATGGTTTTAGCCCTTCACACCCTAACACCAGTATGCATATTCTCCACACTGTTCTCTGCACATTTACTAATATGCTGACAAGGAGAATTTTTCTGGCAATCAAGAGTTTATTTAGTTGGTGATCATTTCCATTATTCTCATGACATCAATATGTGATTTAGTGGTGATATTGTTGGGAGAAATTAGATGCTAGTCACTCTTAGGGGTTGAAGGGTTAATGGTACTGTTTGTGTATTGCCTAGGGTTGAAAATGAATAGTTTAAAATGAAGTTTAGATTGAATTGTTTTTAACCCTTTCTCTCCCAAGATCTCATTAGTGATACTCCTTACTGTCTGCCATACAATTCTTATGATTTAGGGTGGGAGAATTTGGTATTGAATCAACTAATAATCCCTTAATTGATATTTTTCATTATTCTCATTACTTGTCTGCTTGATATAGTATTAATATTATAGGGAGAAATGCTGTCCTAGTCTTTTCCTTTGCTTCATATACATTACAATAATCCTTAAACAAAGGAAAAAAATCAAACCAGTTTGAAATAATTCTAGTTTAAACTACTACATAACAATTTATGATTGCTCCTGTTTTTTTTTTTTTGTTGTTGATTCTATGAACACAGATGCCATCTTACAAACAGATCAAGGAATTTATTGAAACAGCAAAGGGAGAACAGTTGCGTAAAAACACTATTCTTATTCCTGATTGGCTTATCTGGATGTTCCATTACATTGATTTTTGGACACTGGTAGGTGCAGGGTTTTGTTTTTGTCAAAGTTTCTGCATGACATCAATAAGTTTAAATAAAATAATTTGTCTTTTTGTGAGCACTTAGTTCAGTGTAATTTTTTTTGTCTTTTTTTAGGTCTACATTGTTGATAGTTTTGTTGTCCAAGGACCCAAAGTTTTTGTGCGTGTTGGTTTGATTGTATTCAGTCAGTTTGCAAAGTTTATTGAACAAGAAGGTACTTTGAGTTATTGATTATATTGATGCAAATTAATAAAGGTATGAGGATTTTTTAATGAGATATTCATTGCCCTTTTGTAGTTAATCATTGCACAAAAAGTGCTGGGTGTTGTTAGAGTTATGGCTTTGCAATGGATCAGATCTTTTTCATTTTAAAGCAGAAGTATCAGAAAATGGAAACCTAGAGGATCTATTTAAACAGTTTGCATCACTTATGCCTTTGAGGGGATACAAGCTTCTTCAGGTTAGTGATTTTGTATGGAGAAGTGGACAGCTCAGGACAACCTTCTCTTGAGCTGTCCAAAATGATACTGTTATCTCTCTAAGCTTGAATGTTTGTTTTTACTCACCCAATTTTATTTCTTATTGTCTTTTTTGTCTTTTTACAGGCAGCTTTCAGAATTCGAGGTCTCTCAAGGAAACAGCTAGAAAGACTGAAAAGTAAAAATATAACTTTACTGGAGAACGGATTGTTGGATGTTCCTCAACAGACCTGGGCACCAGTTCAGACCATGACTGTGTTTGCAGTTAAAGGTTCCAACTTGCTATCATTACAGGAGGTTAATATTGCTGCTAATTAACCCTTTATATGTTAAAAGTGACTAATATCTAATTTTTCCTCTTTAGGACCTCCTAAAAACCCTCAGGGCTCTCTGGGTAAAGATTTCTTATTCCTTTAATCTGTTTGTTTACAGTGGGAGTTACTATCATCATGGCTACCAGACAGGTTACGTATTAAGAGACCTATTTGCTTGTTCACCACAGACACTGATGGATGCAGGTATTGTGTAATACCATAAAGCTGAACTCTTTTGTTGTATATAGGAGTCATAGGCACAGATAAACTTATACAGAGTTTAATGAAGATTATTTTCTGTCAATTTTTAGGTGATATATTTCAAAACATTCCTCCTCTCTTTAGGTATTGAATTTCTGAATTAGAGTTTTATTTTATTTCAGTATAAGAACTTTATACAACAAGTGTGAAGGTGATGACGAGACAGTTCTTCTAGTCAAATCATCTGTTGGTGAGGTGAGATGTCAAGTTTTGTGTTAAATCATCAACTGTGATGAAAAGTGCATAAATCTGGATCACTTTTTCGTTCTTTGGGCTATAATGCCTCCTGTGATGCCTTCATTTTAATGGCCTAAATCATCCGGAGCCAATTACAGATTTATTTCTACCTGTGAAATGGAATCCTTTCTGAAGGCATTTATGTGGTTTCTGTAGCAGATCAAACATTCTCTTGATGTCAAATTGGCTTATTATTAATTTTGTTGTATTTATCATCCCACAGATCATTGGAGGTTTTGTCACATCCAGCTGGAGTGAGAGAACCACAGGGCCCAGAACTCTTACATATTTTGGTACTGGGGAAAGTTTTGTCTTTAGGCTGAGTCCCAGGCCTGTTAGATATTTATGGACAGGACTACAGAAGGAGGGCCCAGGTACCAAGGATTTGTTTATGGCTGGAGATGACAAATGTCTCATGATTGGGGGAGGGTGAGTAATGACAATTGTTTTATGACTAGGGAAGGGTAAGTCAGCTAAAGTGGTATGGGCAAGAGTAAAGCAGATGTAGAAAAATTATGTGGTGCTTGTCTGATATACCAGACTGAGTTTTTCTTGTTGGTTTGTTTGTTTGTTTCTTTTTATAACCTTAAACCAAGCACTGTTATTTTTTCAGGGGTGATAATGCCATATGGTTAGATAATGAGCTTTGTCGGGGACACAGTGGTCCAACTGAGACATTTGGCAATGAACAACTCACTGAGACCCAAGATTTCCTTTGTGCCAGAGTTGAAGTGTTTGGTTTTGTCCCAGAAAGCTGATCAGTGCTAAGAACTTCAATAGCCTGTTAGTTAATACATAAATTTTAGATATCACTCATTCATATTATCATTTTAATACTAACACTAATATCAGTGGTATGATAATTGTAAGAATGAAAAAAAGTAGTATTTACCAACAAAAAGGACACACTTAGTTGTTCCAAAAATGATCCACAAATTTGAAAATGCCATTTGGATCCAAAATGGAAAATAATTTTTGTTACTTTTTTCATAATTGCTTTACCAGGTAATACTCATAGTGATCCTTCTGGAATCCTTAAAATGTTTTGTGCAAACATTTTTTATTACATTACATTTTAACTGTAACAATATGGCACTAAGGGGGCTTTCTGTTATAGCATGTCTAATTATGGTAAATCCATGCATTTTTATGAAGAAAATCTTAATGGAAACTCAAAGCTTGATGTTATCAATAATTTGTTAAATGTATTGAATTATAGGAATTTTTTAATTATTTATTAGTTATTACACAGTGATTTCCTAGGCATATATCAAAGAGCTTTCTTGATTAATTTTATGATGTGAATTGGGAAATTGGATGCAGTAATATGCAGGAAATGAAACTTCCTACCAAATCTTAATTACTTTTTTTGCATAAATTTTACAAATTGTTTTTAGTTCCATTTGTCTGATATAAATTTATGAAATTGATACAAGTATGGAATATGATCTGTATGGTTGAAAATTATTACAGTTTAATGTGAGATTAGTTAATTTTTTTTATTCCTTGCAGGTTTTAGGAATATCTGATTGAAATACATGTAATTCAGTGTTGTTTGAGGGGTTTATTTTATAA